CAACCTGAGCCAGCAGAAATGATCTCCCTGAGACATTTCTCCTGTGCTCCTAAATTCCCACGTCTGCTTTTGGCCTGAGAAGCTCCCTCTTTCTCTCAGCTCTGAACCTGAGATATTGTGCTTTAATCGAAGTGAATTGCCACATATGTTTTGCTTTCTTTTTACAGTTAATCTGGATCGTGACCTTCATCTTGACCATCGTCCTGGGACTCGGAATAGGTCTGGGAGCTAGTGTGGCATTTCAGCTGCTAACCATTGTGTTCAGGACGCAGTTGTGAGTGCTTGTTAAGCATCTTCGCCAGGCTTTGACCCGCCCAAATCAAAAGACAAAAAGCAAAGTCGCTGGTTGAGGGAAAAGTGGTTTAGCTGATAGGCACGCAAATCTACCAGGCGTGCCCTGTATGCCTTTCCCCAGGCTGTTCTCCTCAAGGCCTGAAGGCCAATAGAAGGGCCCAGCCTTATGATATCAGCACAGGGAGAAGACCTGCTGTTGGTCAGCTCCTTGATTTAATGCCAATTCAAAGAAATCATATAAATCTCTGAGCCTGTTTGCCCAGTTGTAAACCAAAGGTAATCTATTCTTAGCAGGTTTAACAACTTTGCCATAGGCTTGTCAAATATGAGAAGAAGGTGTGAGCTTCCTCAAGACTAGTGAAGGATTTGCCCTTTTCATAGGTCATCAGACTACTCACCTTAAAAGCCTGGAGCTGGATTACAGAACACCTTTTTTTTTTGAGACAGACTCTCACTCTGTCACCCTAGGTAGAATGCTGTGGCACAATAGCTCACAGCAACCTCAAACTCTTGGGCTCAAGTGCTTCTCTTGCCTCAGCCTCCCAAGTAACTAGGACTATAGGCACCTACCACATCACCTGGCTATTTTTTAGAGATGGGGTCTCACTCTTGCTCAGGCTGGTCTCCAACTGGTGAGTTCAAGCAACCCACTCGCCTTGGCCTCCCAGAGGGCTAAGATTACAGGCATAAGCCACCACACATAGCCCCCAGAGAACATTTTAAAGGCCACTCTCCCCCTAAAATTTCCCCAAAGCCATTTTGAAGTCTTGATTTTTAAGAGTCACCCAGTCCAAGGATATTTTTGACTTTCAGATCCCTGCCACGTAATATCACCACCACATGGTCGCTCTGCCTATTTTGGATTACATATTGTGACAGAGAAACAAAGCTCCTTGGGAACTAAGTCACTCTAGACCTGGGTCTTAATCCCAGACTGATGCAATACACCGGTATTGAAATGCTCCCACATTCTTTAATTCATTCATATTTTCATTCCATTCTTTACTGAGGACCCACCAAACATAGAGACAGACTGAACAGTCGTAGGCAAGTCGTTTTACTTCTCCATGTCCTAACTCACACAACTGGGTAGTCATATCTGCTTTACCTTACCAAGTAACTGATATTCTGAATCAAAAATGGAAAAGCATGCACAAGTTCTTGGTAAGCCATAACGTGTCAACTGAGAGGCACCGTTTTGACAGCTGTGGGAGGCAGACATGATGATAAGTAAAACAACATGTTGGCCTGCTAGGGGCTCTGATAGCATGATGATTCCCCAACCCTTTGAATTTTGAAAAGTGAGGCTGCGTTGGTATGCTGGGGGGAAATCAATGTGAGCCTTATCAGGCTGACAAACACGCCGCAGAGTGATTTACTTGGTGCTGTTTTTCCCCTTAGTCCAAAATGCAGCACCCTGGCTAACGTTGGAAGGAGCAACATCTATAAGAATAAAAAAGATTATTTAGATGTAAGTAACATTCATTTTTTTCCTTTGACTTGCTAAATGATGTTAGTATCAATCTAATGGGCACCATCTCATATTTTTCCTCTTCCTTATAGATGTACGAGCCAGAAGGAGTGAAAATTTTCAGATGCCCTTCTCCTATCTACTTTGCCAACATTGGCTTCTTTAGGCAGAAACTTATCGATGCTGTAAGGTTTGGGGTTATTTAACTTTCTTTTAAAACTCTATTGAATATCTGAGAATGAAACACTTCTTTAACGAGAAGGTCCTTGGCTCCCTGTATGTTGTGGAAGCTGAGTTGTGTTCGTGTTTTTGTGGCCCCCATCCCAGAGCAGGTGAAACTACCTTCTGTCGGGGAAATAAGCTTCTCTGAATGAGCTCCAATATAGAATCTTTTTATCAAATTCTGCTACATAGTAAAAAGATTTACCTTAATATTTGGGGATGCTTTTTTTTTTTTTTTTTTTTTTTTTTGTTTTTGGGCTGAGGTTTGAACCCACCACCTTCAGCATATGGGGCTGGTGCCCACTCCTTTAAGCCACAGGCGCCACCCCTGGGGATGCTTATTTTTAACAGATATCATTCTACAGGCTTTCATTGGCCATAACTTCAGAAACAAGGGAGCATTTATGATGTGACTGGATCTTTAAAGAGGGTCATGTGTTAAGTCATGTGAATACTTAACACTAAATAGGGTCCCTGGAAAATTGGAGAGATGACAAGCACATAATCTTTAAAATTAAAACAGAAGCTCAGTATTCACTCTTGAAACATGCTTTTTGATCTGCTCTGAACCTTGTATAGAGCTGCTTTCAGCCCTAACTATTGTTATCAGTGTGGTATACATCAGATTATTTGTCTATCCAACTATGGTTTTTTACAAAAAATTGGATCATATTGTATTTTTAGCTTTTTATACCTCCCCTTTTCACTTAATCTAGTATCTTTCCGTCTAACTACAGTTTTTGTCAAGGTTTTTTTTATCACATTATGTGATCCTCCTTTCTTGTGACTCTGGGTCTAAATATTGCAGTGATAAGAACACATTTGTGTTGAAAAGGGGAACATATTCATCTGTCACAGGATTAGTTAAAAGAAAAAAAAATTTAATTAAAAAAATAGGAAAAGAGGAACATAAAAGTTAGCCCCAAATATAGTATTAAAATTATGAAATAAAATAATACATATGATAAAATCATGAAAATTTTAATAAAATAAAAATCACATAGAAGCAAAATATCATGCCACCTACATAAATAGAAAAATAAATGAGACAGAACGGAAAATAAATGGATAGAAAAATAGAAAATAAATATGAATAGAATTCATATTTATTCAGTGAATATAAACATAAATAGAATAAAATCCCCTGACTTATAGGCTCATGACACAAACTGATTCAAATAGGGTTTGTATCCACTTATGGGTAATTTGTGGATAAATCCTGGACTGTGCAGAGGTTTTGAATGTTGGTAACTGTGTACAGACTGAGCAGACCACGGGTCTGATCCAACATTGTTGCTGATGTTGTTTAAGCCACTTCTAAAATTTTATCACAAATATCTTTATTTTCTGTCCCAATCCCTCAACTCCTGCCAGTGAAAGTTGGAATTTTGCTATGTCAGGAGCAGAATGTTCATTCTCTTGTAACACAACTTTGGGCTTGGCAGGTTGGCTTTAGTCCACTTCGAATTCTACGCAAGCGCAACAAAGCTTTGAAGAAAATCCGAAAACTGCAGAAGCAAGGCCAGCTGCAAGTGACACCAGTGAGTTTCTTGACTGCATTTCTGTGCCTTATAGTTAAAAACTTAGTAAAGCAAATTCAGGGTGTCAGCTCCATTCTTTTAAATGAAATGCCAGACAAACAGGGCATTTCATGTGCCAATTAATCCCCTATTTTTAAATGGCATCTTTGAGGGTCTCTCTAAAATTTTAATTCTCCTGGGAAGAGTACCGAAGACAGATATCTACGATCCCATTGTCTGATCCAAACTCACTAGTTGCCCTTGACACACACAGTGTGTTTCTCGTCAGAGTTATCGTGCTTATTATCCTCTCCAACAGAAAGGCGTTATATGCACTGCTTATAGCGTAAAAGACTCTGATGAAGAGCTGGACAACAACCAGGTGGAAGAACTGGATCAGCCCATCAATACCGCAGACCTGCCCTTCGAGATTGACTGGAATGCTGACCTTCCTTTCAACATTGCAGTCCCCAGAATCAGCATCCACAGCCTCATTCTTGACTTTTCAGCAGTGTCCTTTCTGGACACTTCTTCAATGAGGGGTCTCAAAAAGGTAATTTCTTTTTTCTTGACACAACCCATCAGTGATGAAAAGTTAACAATTGTATGTATGGAAAGCCTCTACTTTAGATAAGACACACTTAATTAGAAATCAGTTACAATCTTGGAGTATTCCCACCAGTAGACAACTATACTCAGTCTCCCATCAAATTTAAATTCTGTGGTGCTTTCAAGGCCTTATGGGCACTGTATCTAAATTATCCGGAAATCAGAGCTCTGGAAAGGTCCTGGGGGTGGGGGTGGGGTGGGCAAATGGAATAGTGAATGCTTTAGTTTTTATCCTTATCCATTATATGCTGATGAAATTTCACTCAGCTATTAAAAATATGTCTCAGCAACAAAAATCCCAAATAGATGTATGAAAAAAAATAAATGTCACATGCGATTTAAAAACAGGACTGAAACAGATTGCCATCTATTTTTTTTCCATAGTTTTGTCAGCATTTCAAAAATAAATTAGTTTCTTCCATAAATGCAGATACATATGTAAAGAAAGTTTAAGAAATTCTACATCTATCTTTTTTTCTTGGGGTTTTACAAAAATCACCCTACCAGAGAGCTGACCTATGATAAGATCTGTTAAGTATGAACTTGATACAAAATTTGAAAATGGAATCAATTTAGTTTCCCTTGTCTTTAATAAATCATTTTTAACATCACAGAACTCTCATGAGGGGTTGCTTTTTCTTTTCTTTCTTGATTTTTATTTTAACTGAGGAGAAAAAATGCATATATATATAACATTAACTTTTTGATCCTAGCAGTATAGCACAAAGGACAGGGACTCTGACTCAAGTGTCTTTAAACCACTCATTTTTTTTTTTTTCTTGAGACAAGGGTCTCTAACTCCTGAGCTCAGGCAATCCACCCAACTTGGCTTTCCAGAGTGCTAGGATTATAGGCATGAGCCATTGTGCCCAGCCTAAACCGCTACTTCTTAGTACAGTGCCCAGTGGAGGTTCTAAAAGTGTTTATTGACGATAGTGATATTAATGCCCATCTAACCTGGTCAACTATATGCTCTTATTCATATCACTACCAGTATTTGTTCATAGCCCAGAGGTCAGGCAAATGGATCGAGAGTCCAATTGCTGTGCACAGGAATGATTAACAATTTCTGTGCTGGGGGGGGGGGCATTTGCTTATGTTACTTTCATGTAGCTAAAAGGCTCTAGTTGAGATCACTCATAGAAGATACTATTTTCAAATTAAATCAGAATTGGCCTTATGAGTTTGGGGCAGAACATTTTCCCATAATAATTCCCTTAAGAATGATGATTTTGAACTTCTTACTGAGGAGAGGGCTCTTACATTTGTTTCTGTTGAGGAGCTTTGCTTTTAACTTTGGTGTCTCTTGATACTATTATAGCTTTTCAAAATGTAAAAGGTTCTAAAAGCAATATATCATCTGTCAGATACAGTTATGACAGTTTTCTTTACATTTCTGACAAGCGAAACTGTTCCCTAAGGGAGATATACTTTCTTTTTTAACAGATATTGCAAGAATTTCTCAGGGTCAAGGTGGATGTGTATATCGTTGGAAGTGATGGTAGGTTGTTTTATTTTTACTTTACGTTCTGACAACCACATCAGGCTCACTGCCAACTCTTCATCTAGATAACCTCTCCAAACAACACATATTTGTCCTTGAAACTCTCTTGCTCCCCGACTTCTGCAGGACCGTCTTCTGCTTCACCTCCTTCCTGTCTAAGAGCTCCTCAGGCTGACGTTGGCTCTTCTCCCACACCTTACCAGGCTTCCACCTTAAGCTCCAGTCACTAGTCCTAATTCCATGGACTTGTTGTAGTCAATGTATACCTACATGTTACTGAATCGAGGAGGGAGAGAGTTTCAAAGACAGATGCCAAAGATAGGAGCAGATGCTGAAGTAAGGTCCAGCTGGGGGAGGCAGTTAATCTTGACAATCCGGCCAGGGATGGTGGCCCATGCCTGAGAGTACTCGGAGAGGCAGAGTCCTGAGGATTGCTTGAGGTGAGGAGTTTGAGACTAGCCTGAGCAAGAGAGAGAAGCTCCATTTCTACAAAAAATAAAAAATTAGCCAGGTGTGGTGGTGGGTACCTAAGGGACCAGCTACTGGGGGAAGACACTGAGGCAAGAGAATTGCTTGAGCCAAGGAGTTTGAGGTTGCTGTGAGCTATGATGCCACAGCACTCTACCCCGGGTGACTGAGTGAGATGGTCTCAAAAAAAAAAAAAAAAAAGAAAGAAAGAAAGAAAGAAAGAAAAAAAAGAATACACACAAGTCTGCAGTTCTTTGTGTCCCTACTAGGTGATAATCTCTCTAGGAGATGATGTTCGTCTTGTTTACCTGTTTATTCCCTGTCTCTTGCCTAGTTCATAGGCACGTGAACATTGTTAAGACTTAATGAGCACCTACTATTTATCATGCATTATTCTGGGTGCTGGGGATACAAGCCTCTACCCTCATGAAGCTTATAGTCTCATAGGAGAGCCACATAATAAGCAAATAAAACACATTTCAGGTAGTGATAAGTGCTATGAAGAAAAAAAGTAGAACTAATGAAACATAGAGCAATGGGTGTTGCTACTGTGGGCTACAGCTGGGGACATCCAGTAGTCTGACATTTGCACAGATGCTGGACTGAAGTGAGGGGGTCGATCCTGACAGTATCTCAGGGAGGAGGGACAACTGGTATGCAGGTCCTCCAGAGGGCATGGAATTGGCATCTTTAATCTCTCCCTCTCTACTGGCTCCTACCCCTAAAATCTCCAGGTAACAAACATTAGCCCCATCCTTCCTGTTGCACACCACCCACCTCCATTCCAGGTGCTGGGGACCACAGTGCCCTTTCTCAGTCACTGAGGGATCCCGTGTATGTTAAGTTTATCTATGAACAAACTTTCCCACTTCTATGTTTTAGTACCTACTCTGTCTCTACCTTTCTCCAACTCCAAAGCACTTTTAAATGGTATCTACTCAGTTCAGTTTTTCTAGATACCCACCAAGGGGAAACAGTCTTTACCTACTGTCCCAGAAGTTCCATGGTACTCAATCTATATCTTATTCACTCAACAAAAAAATATAAGGACCTACTCTGTGTTGGGAATTACATTAAAACTAAGAAAAACAGTGAAGGAAGAAACTAGATTGTTCCTTATCCTCATTATTAAGCAACATTTTTCCCTTCAGTACTATAGTTACACATACTC